ACGACCCCAGCAGTCAACGCAGATCTGACTATCGGCGCTAACTCATTAACTTGTTCAGACTATATCATAATATATAGCTCAAGTTATCAGGAATGATTCTGTTGCAATGTTAATTATTAATATTTGTAACAAATATTGTATATATCATGTCAAATTAATTCAAGTTTCACTTCGTTACAGGTGATTAATTGTTTTACTTTTTAGAAGGTAAGCATTGGTCCATCACGTCTCAGCGCTTTATTCACACCTATGGTGTTCTGCTATGGCTAGTACAGGGTTTGATTATGCCTTTTTATGTTTGATTATTGTATATAATCATATATACTTGAATTATGAATTCATATAGTGTTGAATTGGGATTATTGATTTTCACATGGGTTAAAAAAAATTGATACTAAAAGTCAAACAACCTGTTGTCAGGTTCAGCTAGCCTGCGCTGAGAAAGGTGATGCAGTCTCTGGTGTTGTGAGCTGTTGCGGCTACAATTGCTGATAGCCAATTCCTGTACCTGCGATGTCTTCCCAGTCGAGGTCTGAGCCGTCTCCCGTACTGAAGGAGGTAGTTCCACGTACCTCAAGTCTGAGGGAGTCCCCTCTGGCAGAGATTTCATCGCAGTATAAGAAGTATCAGGTGTCCTCTTCAATGAAGCCATCCTCTTCATCCAGGCCGTCTTCAAGATCATCCCACTCAGCGAAGTCTTCGAGGTCGTCACAGCATCCCTCTACGTAGTGATCTTAGTGAGACATCCTGACGCCTGATGCTGTAGCAATTGGCTACAGCTTGCCCGGCCCTCCAGTATTGCAGCCTGAGGTCTTCCTTGAGCCTTCGCAGAGAGGTTGCTAACCTCGCAGCGCAGATCAGACGTATTTCGTTGCAGATGTTGTACTTGCAATCGACCCTTGCAGTACTGCTGTTGATCATCGGGGTCGGTGAACCCTCCTGATAGCAGTGACGGATACCGTCACAATCAAGTTGCAGCAGCTGTCAGCCGAGATCCTGTTAGCGTTGGGAACGTTTGATCCCTTCGCTGATGTCTGTAGATGAATCCATGGCAGTCGTCCCGTAGCAGTGTTCGTTGATCAACGTAGAAGCAACGCAGATGACTTCGCTGATACATCACTCGATGGGTGATGTCTACAGATGAGTCCGTGGCAGTTATCCCGCAGCAGCGTTCATTGACCAACGTAGAAGCTTCAACGCAGATGATTGCTGATACATCACTCAATGGGTGATGTCTACAGATGAGTCCGTGGCAGTTGACCCGCAGCAGCGTTCGTTGACCAACGCAGAAACTTCAGCGCAGACGACTTGCTGATATCATCACTTGTTGGGTGATCCAGATCATGGGGAAGAAGCCGACGAATCCTGAGGACAGCATTGCAGTGGGCGAGACGACGGCATCCAGTTCCTGTCCGAGAATCAATGCAGGCTGGTCCTTGGCGCATCGTCAGCAGTCAATGCAGACGATACACATCAGAGAAGGGTCCGGCAGCTGATGAGCCGCTGTCTTGGATGGTGACGCTGTCTTGGGTGGCTGACGGCCTCCCGTTATGATGCCTGACCAGAAGTTCGAGTCCAGGCATGCATCTAGATCTTCCCACTTTACAAGATCTTTGAGGTCGCATAGGGTTATGCATCGATCTTCAACAGATGTTGGGGCTCCTGGTGCTGAAGCAGATGGTTCCAGTCCTTTAGGACTTCCAGTGTTGCAGCCTGAGGTCTTCTTTGCAGTGTCGCAGAGAGTATCCAGTGCTGAGATCTTGCCAGCACAGATTAGAAGTATCACGTCGCCGATGTCATCGTCACAGTCTACCCCTGGCAGTGATGCTGAGAGATCTTTGAAGATGGTGCATCTTCCTGTTGGCAGTCTACCGCAGCCGTTGCAGAGCCAGAGGCAGCAGAAGTCAGCTGAGAACCCATTAGCGTTGAGAACGCTATGTCGTCAGCGATGTCGGCAGACGAGTCAGTTGCAGTCATCCCGCAGCAGCGTCTGATTACGAACGCAGAGGTTCTCAACGCTGAAGATTTTGCTGACACCACCCGTAGGGTGATTCAGGCCATGGAGATAAGGTTAGAGCGGGGTAAGAAGCAGACGGTTGCTGAGAGCAGCGCTGCAGCGGGTGAGATGATGGCAGACATTGCAGACCGGTCCTTTTTACTACGTCATCAGCAGTCAATGTAGACATCTCTCATCTGAGTCCAGCAGTTGAGCGGGGTCAACCTACAGAAGATGATGACTTCGTCTTCACTGATGCAGAGGTGCTGGCGTCGGCGGCTGATGTTCTCTTCTGTTATCGTCTCCATCAAGAGACTCCAATCCGGCCAAGACGTACTGCATGAAGGAAGATGACTTCGAGTTGATCACCATACCGCCGATGAAGCCCATTGCCCAGGTAGCAGAAGCAGCCTTTGAGAAGTCTTCAAAGACACAAGGGCAGCATACTCCGCAGTTCAACACTGATGGTTCCGGCATCACAACATGGACCTCTTCAACAAGAAATGAAGATTTCTACCTGGTCTCAGACTCGAAGACTCGCAGCTACAAGTGGGAGATAAGAAGTTGGCGCAGCTTGATACGACAACCTGTAGGGCGTTCTACGGGTTAGTGAGGTCCAGAGCCATCAACGAAGCACTGATGTGTGTTTTCAAGATTCCTAAGACGGAGAAGAAAGGATGATCCGGTCTACACTAGTTGCACAGCGCAAGGATCAGGAGTTTATCTCCGATCACTTGGCCTCTACGTCGGCGGGCACCACACTACTACGTCGCCAGGCCATCTCCCACAGAGTGGAAGTTACACCCAGAAGGCGTTCCAGTGGGTAATAACACAACTGGGCCAACCCCCCCACCGATCCTGCTACCACAAGTACTACGCAAGATCAGCCAGACGAGGGTCCTACAACTGACTTTGGTAGCTTCTTACTGGCCAGAGAGACTATGGTTCCCAGACTTCATAGATCATCACGGCGAACCAGTACTACGACTTCCAGAATGGCTGAACCTACTCGTCCATCCTCACACCAAGCAATGTCACGACAACCCAGAAGCATTCCAGTTACACGTAAGAGCATATCACGTACTGCTTGAAGAATTGAGGATACTCCACTAGAACAGCCAAGGCTCGACATAGATCTACACGTACTTGTATGATGACAAGTGGAGAAGCTTTGACCAGTATGCTGTTCGACAGGGGTTCATGGCCAGACAACTTGTGTCATCTGAGGTCCACTAGACATCTGAAGGGCTCTACATTGTCTACATACCTTGCGGCAATCAGCTTGGTCATCACCATGAAGACTGGGGTGAAGTTGACCAAGATGCCTGAACTAGTGGCCCTGCTGAGATCTTTCATGTTAGATCAACAACAGAAGTTCAGAGCACCAGCATGGGACCTCAATATAGTGTTGCAGCACCTCATCAGTGATCTTTATGAGCCGCTGACGCAGACAACATTTGGGTTATTAACTCAAAATGAAGATATTCCTCCTCACCTGGGCTACTGCTGCTCGGATGTCAGAGATCCATACCCTGGACTTCAGCCGTACGAGATTCGACACGGGAAGAAGGGAGGCAGTCCATCTAGGCCTTAGATGGGACTTTATAGCCAAGAACCAGCTACGGGGCCAACCGGATCGTCAGTTCTACGTTCCGGCATTATCAACCATCCTGGGTCCAGAAGACACTCAAGATTTATCCTTATGCCCGGTCAGAGCGCTGAGAATCTACTTGCAGAAATCTGCTACGAGAAGAAGGAAGTTCAAGCCTCTATTCATCTCGCTATCAACCGTTACGACTGTAGAATTATCCCGTACAAAGATCTCCTTCTGGATCAGAGCGGTGATCCTAAGAGCCTATAAAGCAGCAGGGTTAGAGCCTCCAAGAGCATCAAACCCACATGAAGCTAGAGCATTGGCCTCGACACTCGCCCTACATGGAAACTGCTCTATATCATCTATAATGGAAGGCTGCTTTGGTAGTCCGACACTGTCTTCGCTAATCACTACCTGAGAGACATCTCCACAGAAGACGTATCAGGGATACATCAGTTCGGCCCTCTAGTCGTAGCGCAACAACTCACTGTACCGGCCAGACGTTGAAGATATCTCACCCTTGTCACGCAGATTCGTTGACGCCAGGCAACTGTCCATTGCCACCGGCTGAGAGTCCATGTTCCCCTGACTTACGAGAGAAGTCAGCGCATGAGTGATACATAGACTCAGTTATGGTAATGTTCTTGCCTTAACAGATATGTTGCGATTCCAGTTTCGATAAAGATCCTACCGTAACATATTGAGTTGTTGCAGATATCTAGACAACCAGGCGTCTAGTATACTAAATCCACAAAACTTGAAAAGTTTACTTCTAATACGAATGTGAATGTATAAGGTGGTCCCCTGACAAGCATCAAGAAATATTAGCTGCAGAAGAAGAAAATTCCCAGGGGGTATATATATCAAGCGAACGCTGACGTGAATACAATCATGCAGGGAATCCCGTTAGGTGGTTGACCCACCACTGATTCCATCGGATTCAGTAAGCAAATAAGCATGAGTCAGGATAAGGAAAAATATGTAATTTTATGATAAAATTAATATTTTATACTTATCCTGACTCATGAGATGAAGCCCTCCCAACCGTCCCCTCTGACCACACAGGTTTCCCTGTAAACCTGCGTGGGGCTTATATCGGAGAGAGTGAGGACAGAGGTATGCTGAGGTCACGTGCCCGGTTTTGGCGGGAAATAAGGGAGGTAATTCAGGGTGAGTGATTGCACGTTCACTTCAAGGGAATTGAAGGGATTCAAGTTTCCACTTGACCGTTCGGAAGAGAGGATGGGAAAGCAAATAAGCATGAGTCAGGATAAGTATAAAATATTAATTTTATCATAAAAATTACATTGTTCTGCACAACATTGAATGTTTTGTTGTACTGTGATGTTTGTGTTTTGTTGCTGTTGATAAATATTTGTTCTTGTGTATTACCATGTATTTTGTGTTTAGGACAAAGTGATTAAATTTTCCAACTACTTCCTGAGCCGCAAACATGTCCACCAACTGCGAAGTGCATACTACTTCTTGTCTGTCATCAGTACCCTCAGAGATAACAAGGTAGGTTGTACGTCAGTGAGTTTGTATTTGTTGTGTATATGTCTGAGAATAAAAAACGTAGTGCAATGATGAACGCTAAAGTATGTTTTTACTGTTCTGAAGACATACGTATTTGCTTTTCAATTTGAGTATTACATGCCTTTGGCCATTCCAGGTTAGAACACGTTCCCTGCTTCCTATGCTTGTTAGTGTTACCCCTAGGATTCAGAAAGGGCAGGGTAACTTCAAAGAAAAGGGCACTTCATAATCTAAAAGGGCATTTTGGTGAGGATTATTGAAAAAATAACAATAACAAAATGTATATGAAGTCAAATGCTCTTATAATTTTATTTCTAAAGTTACTCTTCCCATTTTGTACTTGAAGATCAAAATTTGGAAAAAAAGCATTTCAAGGCATTAATCTGTTATCACATTTCACAAAACACGCAAACAACAATTTACAGTCTTCTTTTCTTTCTTGCCAAGTATCTGTTCACAACTTTCTTCAAGTCAATGTCTGAAACTGACGATGCATTCAGGCTAATCATGAGAAGTCTGTTGCAATTTTGAACACTGAGTCTGTTTCTATGATCTGTCACAATCAGTTTCACTTTTGAGAACACTCTCTTAACTTCAGAAGTGGATAATCACAGTTGCATGAATGGACAGTAATTGAACAATGTTTGGATTCAAGTTTCCAAGTTGAGGCTTGAGTCTTCAAAATGGTGGAGGGTGAACTGGTGTCAAGCTCTTTTACTTGACTCCACTCAATCTGTGCTTGGTCGATATTAAGTCCATTTCTGCCCTTGGTGTTCCACTTAGAACATAATGAACAAAACATCATTCCCTTCTTTTTGTCATCTTCTGAGTACCTCAACCAGGGACGGTTTTGTGTCAAATGCAGTCTTGTGACCACCATCTTTCTTTTTTGTTGGATTAACTGACTCTTGTCTCGTGTGCCCTTGACTCGCGGCTTGAGTTTTCATAGGAAACTACCTCTGACTCGTCTGGTCTGAAAAAAAATATATACCGGTACAACGTTAATAAACCATATTCAAAATATTCTTAGATATTAAATTTGCAATCATAACTATTAAAACAAAAATATCACACATTAATACACCTGACCGTAAGTATCTACTGTGGAGAGCTTCGACAAGGGTGTGGCTTCCCATTGTTTGAAATCGTAAAATAGTTTTACTCCTTCAAGACTTCCTTTTTTATGAAATCTAAACATTAAACACTAAAAACAAGGCTACCATGTTAAGTTGTTATGCAAGCTGTTTTAACTATTTCATTTCCCAGGACAAACAACAAAATAATTCAAGATCAATTTCAAATTGCCGATGGATTCAAAATGGCGGACATTTTCGAGTTTCAGATTTTCACCTAAACAGCACAGTCACATGAATATCGGTCCCCCAAACGTACCAAAATTCATCCCATGTAGTTCACACATCGTTGTCTTTAATAAATTAAGGTTTTATTTGAAAGGCATGCGAAATGGAAAGGGTAATCAACGGCCTAAAAATCACGAACTTAGAGGCACATACCTGTTAGGAGCGAAGAAATCTATTAGTCGGCGACACATCCTTGCTTCAACCTTCACCGCTTCTTCTATTTTCCTCTTGATTCTTTCCTTGGTAGGCATTGTGATTTCTGAGGCGAATTAAACACCTTTGACTTCGACATGGTTTAAATGCCAATTTCCTAATCATTATCAAAACAATTTTGCGCCTCTCCTAGAAAGGGAGAGAACTCCGCCCTTAATAAAATCCAGAAAATACAGACGGGTTGTTGTAAAAGCAAGCACAGCTAAAAAAAAGAACTGGGATTGAGGCAGAGTAGCAAAACAAAAGGGCAGGGCGCAAAAATCAAAGGGCAGGGCGCAGCGCCTCCTAAATGTGCCTAGGGGGAACACTACTTGTTCTAACAACTTAATCGTGACTTGATCGTGTGTTGTGGCTTGGTTGATTATCATCATACCTGACATCGTCAGACATTGCACATCAAATTGATTGCTTCTTTGCCAAGTCCAGAATCCAATGACTTCCGGCAGTCTTCACATAGCAGGAATGTTACAGAGTGAAGTGTTAAACAGGACACTTCTTTTATGTGCAACCAGCTTGTTGCTCATCAAATCTCAGGACTTACTCTGTTCATTCACTCTAGACATCTTTTCCCCGTGTAGGTCCGGGTTAGAATACTGATCTTCAGTAACCCATGCTTGTCGTAAGAGGCGACTAACGGGATCGGGTGGTCAGGCTCGCTGACTTGGTTGACACAGGTCATCGGTTCCCGATTGCGCAGATTGATGCTCATGCTGTTGATCACTGGATTGTCTGGTCCGGACTCGATTACTTGCAGACCGCCACCATACAGCTGGAATATTGCTGAGTGCGGCGTATACCTAAACTGACTCACTCACTCAAGACATCTTTAATTCCTCCAAGCTTACAAGGTTGCTAAGATTTAGGCAACTATTCTTGAAACAATAGCCTATTTTGTTCTATCATCAATTTGTTGGTTTTATCATTTTCTATTCATCTTTTGTCGTTTTAAAAAGTGAGGAAAATCTGTAAGCAACCGTTTTCAGACTGAAGGAATAACTTGGAATGTTAATGATAGGTGTCACCTGCCTTGATATTGCTGGAATACTGCTGCGGCATAAAACCAAACTCACTCACTCATTCTGAGTGTGTGGCAGTGACAGGGGAGACTAAACATGCAAGAAGATATCTATCGTAAAAATGACATCATCATTAGATTCTACTTCTGTAAATGATTTGGGAATGTCCATTTATTTAGAATATTGTTTCTGTTTCAGTATCATATCCCCATTGCTGTAACCCTTGCCAGTCCTGTTGCTGTTAGCCAGTCATCCCCCAGCATACAGGTGAGGCAGTTGCTTGCAGCTAATTATTCATCTAAACTCCGTGGACCGCCTCCATGGTGTAGTGGTTAGAGTGTCCGCCCGGAGAGCAGAAGGTCGCGGGTTCGATCCCCGACCGAATCGTTCCAAAAGACGTTAAAATATGGTACTTATTGTTCCCTGCCTGGCGCTCGGCATTAATGGGTACAACAAGGACTGGTCGGCTCGGAGTCGGTATAATGTGTCTGAGTGGGGTATTCATGTTTCACTGCGGCATGGTATCTCAGTGGGCTAGCACTATAAAACCAGCTTAAGTCTGGGCTAGTACAAGCAGCCGCACCTACACATACACACGCATGCACGTCGTCATATGAGCAAAATATTCTCAAGCACGACGTTAAACCCAATTTCACCTCACCTCACCTCTAAGCTCCATTATTGTCAGTCAATGTCATGTATTGACACACCTTTACCAATGTTTTATTGTAGGTGCGTGTAACCAATCTGATGGGAGGTCTTCTGGGTCAGCTGACTGTAACTGCTGACAGTGCACGTCACTTAGGAGATGAAGCCATTGTTCTCAACAAGAAACCTTTCAAGGCTGCCTCCTCCGACAAGTCAGTACTGCCTGTGTTCCCCTGTCTCGTCTGTCTTGCTATATTTTGTTTGATGCACCTTCATACTTTTTATACCTTTACTCCTTTGGGCCCTGTATTTTCTTGTGTATAGAAGGGCTGTTTATTGGCAAATACATTGTATTGCAATATGTTGCAATTCAGGTACCTATATTGCGATATGTTGGGAACTTGAGTGTTTGACAGTTATAAGTCCCTAAACATATATGGTGTGGTTCTGATAACAGCAATCTCAAAATTAGGTTGCATAGTCAGAGATTTTCTTTTCTTTTTTATACAATTTATAGTATTACTGTATGCAGTTTTGTCATGAATAACGAAGGAAAACATTTTGTAGTGAATGAAAGTCTCTGTAGATTTTAATCTAAGCCATAAAGATAATCACAAAAACTTAACATATGTTCTTTACCCAATATACCGGTTTTCAGAAAAATATTGCAATACGTATTGTTTGAAAAGCGTATTGCAGTATGCCGGTAATACCGTTCAGTCGTAGTGTATAGTGTCATGCTGTCAAAAAAAGATGTGTTTTGTAGATGAGATATTGACTTTTGGATTATCATGAGCGCAGGGCACTGGAAACATGATGTATACATCAATAATCTGTACTGATGCACACAAGTCCATTCTGTTGGGGTAGCCTAGACTGTGGTTGAAGTGTTCACTCAACATGCCGAAGACCTGGGTTCGATTCCCACATGGGTAAAATGTATGAAGCCCATTTTTGGTGTCCCCTGCCATGACATTGCTTGAATATTGCTAAAAGTGACATTAAACCAAACTCATTCACTCATTCACTTCATTCTGTTGTCACGATCTGATTGCGAAAAGTGTACTTTGTATGTCTGGGCTTAGTTTGTAAAACCATTTTATTAACTTCTTTGAGAGGTATTTAGAAGTTGGATCATCCTTTCTTACCATTTCATTAGTATTAGGCTCTGTCCGTCCGTCCGTACGTATGTACAAATTAGAATATCTTAAGAACTGTTGACTAGATTCTTTTCATGTTTGGTGCCTAGGCTCATCACAGTATAAGAAAGGTCCCAGTCAGGTTTGGTGACCTTGACCTTTATTTCAAGGTCACACTCTTGTCAGTGAGGGACTTTTTAACGACTTTCACTCAATTTTTACTGTTGTCAGTGAGATATCTCAAGAATCTTTCTCTGGATTTTCTTCATATTCAACACCAAGCTTTATCTAGGGAAGGCGCAGGGCCCTGTCGAATTTTGGTGACCTTCACTCAATTTTCAAGGTCACAGTGACACTGAAGATTTCAGTATGTTAACCTGCATGTTAAGATGGTCAGCAAGATATCTCAAGAATCATTCACTGGACCTTCTTCATATTTGATACATGCTTCATCTAGGGAATGTGCAAGGCCCAGTCGATTTTGGTGACCTTCAGTTAATTTTCAAGGTCACAAAGACATTTTGAAGATTTCAGCATGTTAAATTGCATGTTAAGCAAGTTATCTCAAAAATCATTCACTGGATTTTTTTCACATTTGACAGTAAATTGACACCATGCTTCATCTAATGAAGACGCAGGGCCCATCAATTTTGCTGACCTTCACATAATTTTCAAGGTCACTGCGACACTTTGAAGATTTCAGCATGTTAACCTGAATTCACTGGATTTTCTTCATAGACTTTCAAGACTTCCCTTGAATGTTTTTCAATAAGCAATTTCTTTAGTACCATTTTTATCCCACCGGCATGTCCGTCGCCTCATCCGTCTGTCCGTCAGTAATCATTTTGTTTCCGGAGCATAACTCAAAGACCGTTCGATATTTTTCAACAAAAATTGGTAGATATGTCAAACATAACCTAAGGTGGTGCCTTTTGCTATTTACAGATTATTGTCATTTTTATTTTTCTCGTTTTCCATGGAAACGTTTTGGACTTAGTCTTAAAGAAGGGTGTGCTTCGTTTCCGGAGCACAACTAAAAAACCATTCAATATTTTTCAACAAGACTTGGTAGATACTGTAAACGTACTTATTTTCGCGTGGTGCAATTTTTGCGGAATTGACAGTTTAGACTACATCGCGCGGTCAATTATTCGCGCAATCAGTAATTGCCGGAACTGCCAGCTGTCTCTTTGGCCGCCCCTTATAGCAGTGAAAACAAACAGAGTGGCTTAACCTGTCAGGCGGCGTTTATTGCTTACTCCCAGGAAATCACTATCTGTGCGATATACTAGTACACAGTAATCCGTTTACTCACGGAAGTATTAAGTGCTTAGGAAGTGAGATATCGTGATGCAAGTACTAGTACTAGTATATAAAGAGATGAACAACACATCAGTCTTATGTTCCGAATTCTGACGATCTGACGATGGCATTGCGAATGTGGTTAAAGAAAGCACCTACCCCCAAGACATCTGGACTTCCAGATCCAAATGACTGTAAAGATGACACTGAGGTCGAAGTCGAAGAATAAAATCTTTATGAATAAATAAAATACTGCTGTATTATTTCTTTCCGAGTCGTTTCATGGTAATCTGTTTTGTATCAAACCATCTGTCACTACGATTGGTCGAAATAGAACATGTGACCAATTTCCATGGCGGCCACAACACACATTGCTGTTTTCGCTAATTCGGCGATGGGATTTGGCTCATTATTTAATTATGTTTTGGGAAATCCATTACAGAGACAGTTAAGTATGATTCTTTATGCTACTATCAGTCGTCATTTTAAGATTCACGTAGATTTCTGTCTTCAAACTTGATGTGTTATGGTAACAGCTCAGGGGCAAGCGTGGCTAGACTGAATGAATGACAGGTTTATTCGCGGTGTATAAATTTTCGCGCTAAAATGTTTTGCGCGAAAAGCGCGAAAATAAAACCTGCGCGAAATATATTACGATTACAGTATATCAAACAGAACCTTAAGTGGTGGCTTTTGTTATTTGCAGATGTTTGGCATATTTATTTTTCCCGATTTTCATGGAAACGATTCGGACTTAATCCCAAAAGGAGGGGTGGGTTTCGTTTCCAGAGCACAACTCGAAAACTTCTCAATATCTTTCAACAAAACTTGGCAGATATGTGAGGCAGATCATTTATTTTTTTCCATGGAAACGAGTCTAAAATCAAGCTGGACTTTAAGTAACTGTCAGATGATTTGTTCTTTCAAAGATGTGGGGGCCGGGGGGATATGTCATCTTGTGATGACTCTTGTTTGCATATTTCATACACTATGACATTCATGTCAAGGTCAAAGTCAGTCTTGAAAAGATTTGTGTGTTTGAACAAGTAAAGAGAAGATATCAAGAGAGGTTGACTGGTCATGTTTTTGTTGACATTTAGCTTCATCTTAAACCTTCATTACTTTTTAAGTTTGATTCGATAATTTGCCACGGGGGATTATGTCACCTTAGTGACAATGCTTGTTATGTAACCTAACTGAAAGGCAAGTGAGCTTTTGTCATGGTCTGTTTGTGAAAGTCCTTAAATCAGTGTGGACAGCAACATTTTTTAGTTACTTTCATTAACTTTTTCCTTTTGAGTATAAATACTTTGGTCACATACAGTGGTAAATTTAAAGTGTTTTGGAATGTCATTAATCCTTTGACTTTTTATCCCCCCGGCATGTAATGCGGGTCGATATGGTCGTCCGTCTGTAATCATTTTGTTTCCGGAGCATAACTCAAAAAACTTTCAGTATTTTTCATCACAAATTGGTAGATATGTCATACAGAACCTAAAGTGGTCCCTTTTGCTATTTACAGATTTTTGTCATTTTTATTATCCCACCGGCATATAATGCGGTGGGATATAGTCGTCGCCTCGTCCGTCCGCCCGTCCGTCCGTCCGTAATCATTTTGTTTCCGGACCATAACTCAAAGACCGTTCGATATTTTTAAACCAAAATTGGTAGATATGTCAAACATAACCTAAGGTGGTGCCTTTTGCTATTTACAGATAATTGTCATTTTTATTTTTCTCGGTTTCAATGGAAACGTTTTGGACTTAGTCTTAAAGAAGGGTGGGCTTCGTTTCCGGAGCATAACTCAAGAACCATTCAATATTTTTCAACAAAACTTGGTAGATATATCTAACAGATCCTAAAGTTGTGCCTTTTGCTATTTGCAGATTTTTGGCATTTTTATTTTTCCCGGTTTCCATGGAAACGATTCGGACTTAGTCCCAAAAGTGAGGGGTGGGCTTCGTTTCCAGAGCATAACTCAAGAACCGTTCAATATTTTTCAACAAGACTTGGTAGATATATCAAACAGAACCTTAAGTGGTGCCTTTTGCTATTTGCAGTTTTTGGCATCCGAGAACAACTTTTTTTTTTCCCGGTTTCCATGGAAACGATTCGAATTAGTCCCAAAAGTGAGGGGTGGGCTTCAAGCGTATTTTTCGAGCATAACTCAAGAACCGTTCAATATTTTATTTTTTTTCAACAAAACTTGGTAGATGTATGAAACAGAACCTTAAGTGGTGCCTTTTGCTATTTGCCGATTTTGGGCATTTTTATTTTTCTTGGTTTCCATGGAAACATTTTGGACTTAGTCTCAAAAAGTAAGGATTGCTTTCGTTTCCGGAGCACAACTCAAAACCGTGATAATATTTTTCAACAAAACTTGATAGATATATCAAACAGATCCTAAAGTTGTGCCTTTTGCTATTTGCAGATTTTGGCATTTTTATTTTTCCCGGTTTCCATGGAAATGATTCGGACTTAATCCCAAAAGTGAGGGGTGGGCTTCGTTTCCAGAGCACAACTCAAAAACCTCTCTATATCTTTCAACAAAACTTGGCAGATATGTGAGGCAGATATTGAAGTGATGCCTTTTGCTATTTGCAGATATTTGTGATTTATTATTTTCTCGGTTTCCATGGAAATGATTGAACTTAGTCTCAAAAAGGAAGGGATGGGTTTTGTTTTCCGAGCACAACACGAAAACTTCTTAATATCTTTCAGCAAAACTTGGCAGATATGTGAGGCAGATCCCAAAGTGGTGCCTTTTGCTA